AAATCTTATGTCTATACAGACAAGCCCGCTTCCGCATTGGAGGACAACATTGAAGTATTTGTTCGTGAGACACCGGCCGAAATGTTGGTAAGAAAGAGTATGCCAAAATTGGATTAAGCGGATGGACCATTTGTTTTGCAGTCGCGGTCTACATTTGCATGAAATAATCTTCAAACCTTTAATAATATGGACCGTAGTATCGATTCAAATAAGGATTTCATGCATTTTTCTGAATTTATGTGTTTTTTTTTTTAACTTTCCTATAGCTCTATAACCCATAAATCACCTTTTATTAATCCGCCTCCAAACGGTTGATGGTATTTTAGAAGAAGCCTTTATGACATTCTCTGCCATGGGGTGGCCTTTATACAATTACAAATAAATTTATTTTTTGGATAGTTTTTTTTTTTAAAAAGTATTCATTTGTGAAAGTAAATAAATGCATTAAACGGATTTAGCGAATATAACACACTTCCATACACACACATATGTATAATAATATCTGTGATTTTAATTGCTAATATAAATATCGATTATAAAGCTGCTAAGCAACGCTGAATACTATTTATCTAACTGCCACAATAATTTAAAGCTGAAAATATTTCAATTAATACTAATCTCTCAAAATACCTTTATATATAATAATTGTATACATAATATAATATTATATAAGTGCATGCATATATATACGTGTATGTGTCTGCTCAAGTCTCGTTTTCATTATCAGCACAAAAATCAAATACGTTTATGCACTTATAATTTACTCGATAATTATATCAAGTGCACTTAATAAAAATCCTTTCATCTGTTGCGTGCATTCATACTAAATATAAAGACAAACAAATATTTGCAAATAAGCACGTAAATACATAACTATTATATATAAAGCTTTTAATTTAAATAATCATTTTGTGATTTTAGTTTATTCAGTTTATTTATCTTAATTTTCTATATATTTAAACTAAATCAATATTCACTTTACTAATTCAAGGTTTCATTAAATTAGCTTTGCCGCAAAATTTTCAAAGCAAATTGGATATATACTTACTCGTACATACATATATATTCACAGGTATGTACATACAGTATGTACATACACTTATGTATTTAGTGAAATGTGCGCTGATGAGCGAGAATCGTTGCAATAAAAGCAACAATTTCGAAAAACAGCTGTAATTATTTAAAATGCTAAATTGATTAAACACCGACGCACAATTAGCATAAAATTATTATGTAAACAAATTCAGCCAACAAAATGACCGCCCATCCGCCTGTCGAAAATTCGAAAACAATTCAACATTATTAAAATTAGAAAATATTTCAGGTGGCGGTGGTGGTGGCGGGTAGGCGAATTAAAAATTCAAATAAATTTTCCAAACGGCTTTTGCCCATTAAATAAATGAGATTTTATATTATATTTATGTGCCTACATACATACACGTACACGCTCCTACATTTATTTACATATAAATATAGGTATATTTTGACTATATGTAAGTTTACGAAGCACTTTTTTGGGCGCCCGGATGCAAGCGACGAGATTTATTTGCACTTGCATACCTACTAATATTATATTTAAATGCATTTATGTATGTATATATGTACATAGATATGTGCGCGTGTGTTTATGACAGCATTGTTAAATATTGAATTTAATTATTATTTGTGAGTGAAAGTGCTGAGAGCGATGTTGGTGAGGATGGACAAACAAAACACTGTTGACCTCGCTGCCAAGCAGCTTCCAGCTCAACTCAACTCACCTCAACCGGTTTCGAAAACTTACGGTTACAGAAAAATTTCACTAATACTTTATTTAATTCAAACATTAAATATTCGGCAGCATTGAAAATAAGTTAAAACAGGAAAATTAAATAGTTTTAAAAGCATTTTCACTAATCAACGTTAGAGCGCGCGCGCCCTTTAACCCTTTTTCGGTTGTTTCCGTACTGAAAAGCGCCAAAGAGTTGACCTACATACACATGTGAGAGTGGTCTTTTAGCTTTGCAGTAAATATATTTCTTTTTCATCTTTTTTTCTATTTTTTTTTATTTTTTTTTTCTATTTTTTTTTTATTTCCTCTTTTTATTTAATTTTCTTATTTTTTGTTAAAAAAAAAAGCCACTAAAAAATTATTATTTTTCAAATTTAGTTACTTTCTAAACCAAAAAAAAAACTCAAACTTTTCCTTGGATAAATTACATGAATTGCACAAATTGATTTCGTTAAAAAAATTCGCTCGCGTACTCGCATAAAACTTATATATATATATATATATATGTATGTATGTGTGTATGTATGTATGTTCGTACAATGGCATTTTTTTCTTCCGGCGCTGCAAAAAATTTGTTAAATACGACTGGTTGGTTGGTCAACATTTGTTGCGCTTCGAGGCATTTGCGCACACAAACTTCAAAACAACAACTAAGCTACACATACACATACATACATATTAAATGGCCAAGGCTATTACAACAAAAATGGCTTTAGTAACGAGAGCAGAAACAATATGGTTAACTATTGTAGGAACTTATAACAAAGATCGTGATGAAAGTATGTGAGTTTATATTCAAATAACACCATACAACTAGCTGGTCCATTTGGTACTAGTAGCGGTCTGGTTTCATGTTTAATTTACCACAAATATTTTGAAGAAAAAATTAAAAAAATGCCGACAGAGTCAGCCGATGAGCTGAGTGTTTTTTTGATACATGCATTATTAAGTCAAGTAACAAGTCATCCATTATTTAAGCAAAAGACGACTTTAGGGATCTGTATCTCGCATGCTCTAAGTGCTATTAAGCTACGCTAGATGGCGCTAGGAAAATGTTACTAAAAGATAGTGGATACCAGCAAAGAGAAATAATATTACATCTATCTGCGATACACGCAACAACCAGGGCCGCCGAGAGAAAATCGGGGCCCGGGGATAATTCAAATGCGGGCCCCCAACACCTTAATTTCATGATCTAACAAATATGTTTATTTGTACTTACACTGCGAATCAACGAGTTGGGGATTAAGATAGAATAGAACTTGAATAAAAATGAAAATGAATGATTAATCTGGAACAATTTTTGTTGAAAGAATTTTATTACCTTAGTTTGCATCACAATAGTATTTTAATAGGTAGCAACCCTCAAAAATATGCCCCCCTTGCTTTAGCTGATGCAAATTCCTCAATGATAATACCGAAGTCAAGTTTTCTAGCTAATTGAGATTCCAAACATAATGTTGCCAGTCCTGAGACTCGAGATTGGCTTGAACAAGAGCGATGATAGTTCTTTATTCTTGAAAGTTCGCAAATGATCGCTCGGCGCTAGCAACTGAGGCTGGCAACGTGCAAAATATTTCCGCAGAGCAAATTATTCTATATACGACAATGAAAACACCGGGCCCCCTTGCAATCTACGGGCCCGGAGGGAAAAGTCTCCGATCCCCCCCCCCCCTCTCGTTGGGCCTGGCAACAACGCAATACTATACTTGATACTATAATAGTCAATCATGCACAATTTTAATTTCGTTGATTTTATTCCGGTAATTTTGTTGTAAGAGGTACTCCACGGTATGGAAGGCCAATTGTCGAAAGGAAATGAAGTCGTCGAATCGGATCATCATGCGTGCACTGTCTCGATTGGATATTGTACAACAAAAAGTTTGGAACCACTTGATAAAGGCTGAATACACAAAGAAGCTTGATATAATTATGGAGATCACATGAAAACCTCGTGAATCGAATATCCAGTTGTGAATCGCTGCATGATAGTATCGAAATCGACCCACTTCTGAAGCGGGTGGTAACTGGTGATGAAAAGTGGGTCGCTTGCAGCAACGTTAAAAGAAAACGGTCTTTGTAGAAGAGTAGTGAGTCGACAAAAAGGGTTTCCAATCCAGTATTACCTGCCAGGAAGATTTCGTTGCGCGTTGCTATTGGGTTCGGCAATTATATACTATGAGGTGCAACCTAACGGCCAAACTCTTAGTCTGGGCCTGTGCTGTACAGTAATTCTACCGTCTAAAGGAAGCAAACGCCCAGAAGCCGCCAGCTTTGGCCAACAGTAGGGGGAATTGTGTTTCATCTGGATGACGCTATAAAGCGATTGTCATATTTTCTTTTCTATGCCAACTGTTTTGGCTGGTGGATAATTGAAAATTGAACATAGATCCTTGACTTTGATATCGGTTATCATCAATAAACTATAAAGCGGTAGCGACCCAAAATTCGAAAACGGAAAAATGGATAATCGTTTCCTTTTTGTTTTATGTAGTTTGTTGAAATGTAAGGAAGAACATGCAATCATATAATATTATGTGGCAACTTCACCTAGTGCAGCTGTCGATTTGATTTATTTATTTTTTTTTTTAGTTTTTTATTTATTGTTTTTTTTTTTTTTTTTTTTTTTTTTTTGCTTTTCTGAAACCAATTCTTTGTCATCAGCTCTCGCCGTAGTGTGTAATAGTTACATTTTCAATACTACATTTTTGGATGTGAACCTCACCACTTTTACCACGCGGTGCATATTACAGTATAACTGTCGATTTAGCTAACAAAGTGTGCCCTTAAACATTAATGTATGTATGTATTTACACACACACATATATATATGTTATGTATTCAAAGAGGTTTTCATAGAAATTTACGCAGTTTCTTAGTTACAGTTGCAAAGGAAAATTCTACAAAAACGAAAAAAAAAATTTGGAAAGCGAAATTTTATACTTTCAAAAAGTTTTCATAGCTGCCGAAAATTCTGTTCAAACATACTTACCTACTAACACACTTACTTAGAAAAAATTCAATGTAAACTTTGTTTATCCACGGGCGGAAATCCCAGGGCGTTAGAGCTTTAAAATAATAGAAAATTTAAAGTTTTTTGCTGATTTCTGCTTAAATTTATAGTTAGCTAAACATTACTAAGCTTGTACTTTTTGTTCTCATAAAAATTTTCTTTTAAACACACCCACAAATATATTTATTAATTTCACTTTTCTTATTTCGTTTACAGCACAAAAAGAAGACTTTCAATGTCCCTCCACTGTAGCGAATGGCAATTACGCAGATCCGGTCACTTGTCGGCGCTTTTATCAGGTATGAATTTCGTACTTAGTTAAAATGATTTTTTTCTTTAAAACATCACAAATATGTTAATGCTGCTCCATAGATTTGGCCAAATTTTCTACGACCCCTATGTAGTGTTTGCGCTAAGTGTCGTGGAAGCCGAGGCCAGAGTGCGATGAATGTTTGCTTGTTTGTTTACTTCATTATCAAGCCTTTTTTAGGGCTTATGATATCAATATCATCGGCATACGCCAGCAGCTGTACATCTAACGCTTTTTTTTGAACAACGGCTTACGAAATGCGATCTAACTTCTAATACTACACTACTGTAGTTTATGGGTAGCCATTAAGAATAAATGCTCCGCCAACTATCCGGAGACAACTCCTGTCTTCAAAAATGGAACTGAAATCGTCATACGGTGCAGAAGCATTTACGGCAGCATTCCATGAGCTAGCTGAAGTTTGTGGGGAAAAGTTGTTTCGGAAAGTCACAGTTGATACAATGAGCTGTGCAATTTCAGTTAGATTAGGCCATCAATCAGATATATTAAGATACCAGGAGGCCAGTCAGTCAAAGCAATGCGTGAAGTTTGCCAAACAGACCAATTGAAAAATCTTTTTCTACTCACAATTTCCCTCAAGTCTTAAAATGTTTCCGCCCGTAAAGACTTCAACCTACTCATTCGTTAAGGTTTCATCTTAGCCGCTCTGCTTGTCTGCCTAATTGAAGATGTCTGGTAAGAAGAGCCAGAAATTTATATATTTATATATATATATACATATGCAGTTGGCGTTTTATAACCGCTAAACCAATTTTCGGTCAAGCTTTTGCTCTTACTGCTAGAAAACTTCTGAATGAAATGATGAAAATGGTTGAAGCTTAAAGTTTAGTCCAAGCCATTTCCGAACGACTGATGGATTTTTATGTTCATGTTCGTGTCTCAAATATACCTGGATCTAAAGAAAATATAATGTAGCCAAATATAATCAGACTCCGACTGAGAATGGTCGCAACCCTCGCAAAATGCTGCAAATGGCATTGGGGTGATATGAAGCATCCACAGTACTTAAACCAAATTTCCTCGTCTGTAACTCATCTGCTTAAGATTACCTATCAGGGCTGCATGAGGTCAGTTAGACTACAGTGGAATTTAGTATAAACTTGGTGGTGGAGTAAGTAAAGATTTGGGGAAAGGCTTCCTTGTCCTTTTGAAATATTGTTTGCCCTTAAACTCGTCATTTTTCTCAGTGGAAAGTGGGTGAACTTTCTTATAAAGCAATTTGAAAAGGCAAATCTTTCATCAGGTTTACTTTATTCAAACACATTCAAAAGTATAGATAATGTCGGTAACTAATACATAACGAGCTATAATTTTTCTTTGACCGGTTTGTCAACTAGTTAGTTACCTGGGTTAGTTCCTACTCATGCAACAGATTTTTGAATTACTTAGATATATTCTCAGTTTACTTAATTTACTCACTGAACTACTTTCGTTTCGTCTCAGGTCGAGGGATGTTTATCGTCCACCTTTCGAAGACTTATATAGGGAATGGATTTAAAGTGATATCAAAAAGGTCAGATCAGTTTGTTGACGGTGCAGATTGAAGTGTCTCATTTTTTATAAATTAGCTAGTCGCAAAACTCATTTATTTTTTTAATTGAAAGCAAGTTCTATTATAATTTTTAACTACTGGATGTCTACGTTGCTTCCTTCAGTAGTAATCAACTTAATAGTTCTGGCCGCATTTCGATCTTTTCTTTTGCTTTCCTTCGGCTAATGAAATCACTTTCTGAATACATGATTTACTCTTGATTCATTGCTAGTCGTACCTGGCCTTCGCTTAATTCCAATCGAATTTCAGTATCAGAAACTAGAATAACAACTGCTTGAGTCAAGTAATCCTCTCTTTCATCTCTCACATGTAGCTGCCAGTTTCTTTTACATTTTACCAACTAGACTTGTAGTTACGTTTGTTTGTTTAGTTTTAAATTTATACTTCACCCAGTAGAAGTTTAAAAAGATGCAGAAAATAAATTTTATAAATTAACAACAATTTTTTTTATGTCACTTTACTCCTTTCAGTCTGCTACAATTATGAATTTACATCCAAACATTGATTGTGCTTTTTTTTCCTTTGAATCTAGTTCTAGAAAGGCCTATATTTCAAGTGAGCGAATAACTTGATTATCCTCAACCTAAACAGAAAGGTTTTGTTGTGTTGCATCGTCCTTACCCATGCTAACCAGATTCTATTCTCACATACCGGTGGCACATAAAAAGGCAGCAGAGCCACGTCTTCTGATGGTTAAAAAAAGAAGCAAAGAAGCAAAAATAATTTTTATGATTTTCGCTAAATACGCTTATATAAATTCCCAAATAACTGCAAATTAAATAAAAAATATATATAATATATATATATATATATAATACTTCGAACTCGATCACTGGACCAGATTTGCTTACAAACTCTTTATTAAACTCCTAGTTTACTAAGTATACAACTTTCTATAAGAACTCAGTTGAGTCTCCTGTAAACCCGCAGTTTACTCCGTTTTACCCTACACCCATACAGTCACTACCGAGTTCCACTCAACCAAATATGCCAGGTGTGCGCGCTTCGCTTTTATATAGATACAAAAAGCTCGCATGAAATCATCTGGAAGATTCTGTGTGCATGTTCTCACTAACGAACATTCGATACATGAACTGTATCTAGAACATGTTTGAGTTAGCGGCCAGCTCACATTTGACATTTTTCTCACAATATTATTTGAACATTTTCGAAAAGACCTGCGCACGAAATTGCGGGCAAAATCTAGTACACAACAAAAACATATGTTATGTGTTAGAAATATTATTCAACACTTCAGTGATACTTTCATTACAAATAAACTATACATATAACTTAAAATGTTATACTTTGAACCTAAAATCGCCACTCGATTGGCTTTTATTTGAAAAATATTTTTTTTTTGTTTTTCAAAAATGAATTTATTTCAATTTTTAATTTATTAACAAGATTTTGTTTAAGTAACATATGTATCCATTTTTATTAATCTAAAAAAGCTTATACGGTTGTATAATAACAACATACTTGTACAACCAAAATATCTATCACTCAAATGCTACAATCAGACAGACAGTAGAAATGTAGTTCAATAAAAATAATTTATTTCATTTCAGTGCGTCGATGGCTTCCCCTACATAAATCGTTGTCCATCTGGACTTTATTTTGATGATCTACAAAAATTCTGTACATTCAAAGAAGAAGCCAAGTGTGGGCCATTACCTACAAGTAAGCTAAAAATAAAGCATAAAATAAAACTTATTATATATGTATAAAGCTGTGTGTTGGCAAAAATTTAACGGCATATATATTGCTTTATTTATTTTATATTTTTATTCCTTTTTTTTTTGTGCATAGAAATGCGATAGTAAATAATAAATTAAGGTAAATGTCTGAAAATCGAGAAAATCGAATCAAACTAGTTTATGCACTTACAAATGCATATATATGTATATATGTATGTACATATGAATGTTTGTAAGATAACTGCATTTACTTATGAATAGTGTGAGCAGCGCTGGGAAGTCAGAAATCCAAGAAAGTGTAAAAACACCAGTAAAATACACAATAAATCATAATTGCCTAGGCCAAGGTATCAACTGCGTGTGTATGCATGCTTGATGATTGTATGTATGTATGTGTGTGCATATGTATGACAAAAGTGTGCTTTCAGTAAAGAGCATTACTTGAAAGAGACGTATGTAGTAGTGAAGTGCAGCAGCTGCTCTTTCAAAATGCATATGAAGATATGAAGACATATAAAGAGATATTTATATATGTATGTGTATAGTATATGGGATGAGATAGTTTTGCTAGCATTGTCAACCCTGCAGACCACTACCGCAGCCTACATCTTGCAGTTTGAAATATAATTTATTATGCATTTTATATGAAATTGGAAATTGGCCTCAGAGCAAATGGAAATTCGATTAGAAGTGCAGCAGCAGCAGCAGCAGCAGTAGCAGCGACACCAGCGACAGCAGCTAAGACAAACACAAAGTAAAAACACCAACAATTATCTATTTATAATGTATATTTATGTGTGCATATATGTACATGTGTTTTTGTATATGACGAATTACTTACACATTTACTTATGTATATATGTATGTAAGTGTGTTGGCTCGTTTGGGTTAGAGAGACAAATTGGCTGTTGCAGCAAGCAGTTGGTGAGGCTTACTTAAGCTGAGAAACATATATGTATATATATATATGTACACGTATGTAAGTATGTATGTCAATATATGCATTTATGTATGTATATACATATGAATATATACAAAAGATTTTGGCGTTTGCATATACTAGGGCGTTGCAAATGCTTCAAGCAGCTCACGACTCCCGGTCTTAGACAAAGTATCCTCGGGGCAGCCAACCCAACATCCGTTTGGAGGCGAGTTAAAGAGAGAAGGCGAGTCCCATACCGTTGTGCGTAGGGTTTGGGATCCACCACATGAAAATCAAAATCCAACGAAAAATTTTAATCAGCCACGGATGAGAGACCCTCATTTTGATGGCGCCTCCCGCAAATGTTTTATGGATTACGATTTTAGCGCATGCACCAGTAATGTCCAGTCTCTTAATTGGGAAGGTGCCGCTGCCCGGCTGGTTGATTTTCTCATAAAATTTAAGGCTGACATCATCGCCGCTCAAGAGATGAGAGAGCGCCACGACGTCAAAATTGTGCTAGACGACTTCAACGATAGGATGGGCAAAGAAAGTATTTTTGGGACAACAGTCGGAAAATTCAGTCCCCACAACGAAACATCCCCGAATGAGCTGAGGCTGAAGTCATGATATATCCAGTGTTTTAGATTTGAGTACGTTTCGAGGTTCTAACATCGACTCGGCTCACTGTCTTGTCGTAGCGAAGATAAGCACGCACCTCTGAGTATCGAAGAACGTCCGTCAAAACAAGGAAGGTTTCATATTGAAACAGACTACCAAGCGGTTTCCTACTCGACTTGCACACCTACTCTCTGAAAGCACTCATCAGCAGCTGGAACTGTAGGACGGCATCCCACGGCAAATTCCCTACGTTCAGCCGCAAACGAAATTATTGGATTTCGAAAAGATCGCAAAACAGCTGTTACGATGAGCACTGCCGTGGCACAACTCACAACCTTGCGATCGAACCGAACACGTACCGAGAGCTAAATAGGGAAACAAGACGCATCTGCAGAGAGAAAAAGAAAGTGGCCGAGATGCGTGAGTACGAGGAACTTGAGAAGCTGACCGGCAAAGGTAATGATCGAAACATCTACGAAAATATGCGGCGACTTACGGAAGGTCTCAAAACCAGAGGAAACTTTTGTAGGGCCCAGAAAGGTGAACTAGTGACGGATCTCCAGCCTGTCAAATGGCAGTGAAATTGAAACACCTGGAAGGTGAACCCGAAACTCGAATTAATGATGAGGATGACTTCCCCTCTTGCAAGAGTGTTTGGAGTTTAGTATTTGGAAGTTCCCAAAACGTCTCTCCCTGGTTGAGTTACATTCAGGTTTTTTGAGTTGCTGCTTGTATGGAGTTTCCAGTATAGGCCTGCCGAGAGAAGATTAAGGACAGCATACCTGTAAAGAGTATGAAGGCCGTCTGCTGGACATTTTTAAATTGCTCTAATTTGTAGCCTTGTCTAATGCTGGCCACCAGCCAGTGACTTCGTAGATATGGGTCTTATTACTGCTTTATATTGAAAGTAAACACCATATGGGGCCTGAGTATCCATCTCTTGCAGCCGCATTGCAGGCGTAGAATAAGGTCATATCTTTCTTACACCATTCCTTAGAACTGTTCCCGTTCCTTGCATGCTTGCTGTCTAATATTAACCTAGGTATTTAATCTCAGTACCTTCTTATGAACCAGTGCCAGAACGGTCTTTAAAGGACTTACAACCAGTCCTGCTAATGTTATTTCTATCGGATTTCGTTTTCGCCTTCTAATAAACTAACCCTCATGCAACACTAGCATCTACGTATACCAAGGGTGTCGTTGTAGTGTGTTTTAGTAAGAATCTCTGACACTTGAAGGAGAAAGTAGTTGCGTCGTGGGTCAAATATAGCAGTCCCAGTGGGGCTAGTATTTTGAATGAGTGAATCGTTTATACTTACGAGTATGTCATGTTACTGGTCGAGTAAGTTTAGCATAAACACATACACACACACACTTCAGCACATATTCGTGCATATGAACAAAAGCAGACGATGAGGGCTGGAGTTGATGGTGGCGGCACACTTTGGAAGTAAATGTCGCATAATTCATTTAAAGCCGAAACCGCACAGAAATACACACAGCTGAGATGATTTTATGGCCGATGAGCACACACATACACACACAGATATACACACGTGAGTATGTACATGTGTATGCGATTGTGTGCATGCTTCGGTGCATCAACTGAAATTGCTATCCTGGATTTAGCACAAATCTTGTGTAGCTCAGCAAAGTCTGAAATAAAAATCTCATCTCACAGAGCAGTTGCAATTGAGGCTCGGAAAATGTTGAATGGTGAATGCCAAGTGAGAAAAATATAAGTAAATGTATGCATATAGTCTATATATATATATCCCCGCCACGTGACGTCAGGAAAAATGCAGTCAAATTCGCTGCTTATGGCACATTTAGAGGTGCAACGATTTCCAAAAATACTTTCACACACACACATGCAAACACTCCAGTCAAAATGCCAACTAAATGAGATGTCCAAATGGAGAAAGAGAGATACTAGTGGAAAAAATAAGAAATTGCAAAGACAACACATGTACTTTTATTTCGCACTCTAAGTTAAGTATCTGAAAATCTCTTGTTCTTTTTCTAGTCTTTGCAATTTGATTGCTAAAAGAAAACGTCGCCAGAGCGTGGCGTTTAAGGGCTTGCCACTGCACTGGGCAATGCACAATTTACACGTTCACTTTATTATGATTATTGCACTTACTGCCTTTATTACATATATATATATATCTATATATATCTGTATGTATATAACAGCTTCTTTGACATGTCAGTTGAATGTGCAGCATTGAATTTTCGAATTCTTAGCGATTTTCGCTGGTTTAGGCAAAAATCAAAATTAGAATTTGCAGAGAAAGCAACTATTCACACATTCATTGGAGAGAATTAAGAAAGACATTGCACAAAGTAAATGATTGCAGCTTTACATATGCACGCGGTGGAGTACCATTCATGCTTTTTACCCATTTAAAATTTTTTTAAGAACCAAAATCATCAAAAGGTAGTCAGAAGTCGTGGACTTGAATCCCGAAGATGCCAAGAGCTTTTATTACTATAAACATTTTTTTATTTACTTATTAAATACGCGTACAATTAATATTCAAATTCAGTGTTTCTCGATAAGAGTTGTTACTTTGAATAGCCTGCTATTCCTCTAAACGTCCCTTCTGAAGACGTAATTTTTTGACATCAGATAAGTAAAAACTACGGCAGTAATGGTAATAGTACGATTGACGTTTCAAAAGCACCCTGAAATGATTAAAATTTACTATAGAAATAGTGTAAACCTGGTAGAGATGGTTTGTTAAACTAAAACACTTTACGGTCGTCGTGAAGCACCCGGTCGGACGGCAATACAGTAATTGTTGGAGAAAATAAAGCTTTTGAGAGTTAGTAATGTGAAGAATAAAACACGTGCATGTCACTCATGATCCACTGAAAATATTGCGGCTGTAGCCTGCTCTGCAGTTGAGGAGAGCAAAGGTTTGCCCATTCTTAGTCGTTCTTTGGAGAATATTGCGGCTGTAGCCTGCTCTACTGTTGAGAAGAACAAAGGTTTGCTCATTCCTAGTCGTTCTTTGGAACAGAGCATTCCACAAACATGTCATTACACAGTATTTTACATAAAGATCTGGATCTTAAGGTTTATAAAATTCACTTAAAACAACAACTCAAGTCGGCTGATCATCAACAACGCCGTGTCTTTGCTAATTAAATCATTGGAATGCATGAAAATGATCCGGAATTTCATCGAAAAATCATTTTGGCCACGTCAATAAGCAAAATTGTAGCATCTGGCGATCGAAAATCCCAAGAACTATTTTTGGAAAGTCTCACCATTCTCAACATGTAATTACTTGGCGTGGTTTATGGTTATTGAATTTTACTTCTTCGTGAATGAGGCGAGAGTAAAATTTTGGGTAAATGGTTTGCCCTATCGAGAGATGATTAATTATTTTTCATAGCCGGAAATGGATGGTATTGATATGGTCAACGTTTAT